TATCTTGTTAACAGCTTTGTCTCGTAAGCGACTCAGTCTGAAGAGCATGTTGGGAGTTTATGTTGTGCTGAGTGCTGGAGTAGCTGTTGCCTTGGTGACGCTTATGGCTGAGATCTACTGGAAAAGAAAAGCTGAACGCACACTGGCCAACAAAGTTCGAACAGGGAACCGAAGGTTGGTTCCAATGTTTTATTGAGGCTTTATAACTTGGAATCCTTCATCATATCACAAGGCATGAAAGGGAACCCCAAAGGGACTAAGGGGTTGGCAGTTAAAGACTGAGTAAGTTAGCTAACCCCACGTACGGCCGAGCGTCAAACCGAATTGAACGTCAGCGCCCTGGGCGATAATTCAATGAAATTGGCCAGTTTACAGAGAAGAATAGTAATAAATTAAATGTCAGGAAGGTGTCATTACATTTGGTATTGACACCGACTCAGGCCAGAAATACAGTGACAGGAAGTTAGTGACCAAATAAACAACAACAAAAGGATACATAGATGTTATCTTGTTTACAGGCCAACGATTCCCGCGTTAGAGTCTAACTACGCCAGGAGGCCTTCGGCAGACTGACTGAAATGGAACGAACCTAGATTGTTTAAAGTAAACAAGCCACAAAGTATGAAAAAAAGATCACATTGTTTGGAAGTTTGGAGTAACATACCCGAGCTTTGCAGTAGAACAGGAACAGTGCTAAGTACACAACGCTTAGCGATGGCATCAAAACTGAAAGAGTAAAAAAAAACTTGCACAACTTGCTCTACTTCAAGTGACCTGATAAACTTAAAAAATGTTTAATTAAAAAATTGCTTCAATTTATGATTTAGTTGGGGGTACAGTACACTCAGCGAAGCTCGAGAAAAACTGTGAGCTTCGAGGAACAGGTATTGCCCAGGAACAGATATACGAGCATGTTTTCGCGCCAGATGGAGGCTCATATTCTTCAAATATTTTCAACGCGCGTGAAAAATGTTTACTAACAGCTTCCCGTTTACGGCGTGGGGTATTCACTTTTCAGGGTTCTCTTCTGTAACAACCACACGACGTTTATCATCTTGAATTAAACTTGATGCTCAGAGTTTCCTATATTGGGCGTAGGGTTTGAAACTAGGGAGTATCACTTGGGGTATATCCTAGGATATCGCCCCATTTTAGTTGAGAATATTCGGTCAAGTGATNTTGATTCGTAATGAACCCGTGAAAGTGATAAATGAGATAGAATAAATATATGAAAATCATATATTTTGAACTGCGGTATTTGATACGTATGATGGACGATCCTCGCAGTAGATAGCGCTATTTGAGCAATAGCGAAATTCAGACCTGAAAAAAATCAGGCCTGTACGGGACTCGAACCACTGACCTCTGCGATACTAGTGCAGCGCTCTAACCAATTGAGCTAACAAGCCAACTGAGAGCAGGCCGTTAAGTTGATTCGTAATGAACCCGTGAAAGTGATAAATGAGATAGAATAAATATATGAAAATCATATATTTTGAACTGCGGTATTTGATACGTATGATGGACGATCCTCGCAGTAGATAGCGCTATTTGAGCAATAGCGAAATTCAGACCTGAAAAAAATCAGGCCTGTACGGGACTCGAACCACTGACCTCTGCGATACTAGTGCAGCGCTCTAACCAATTGAGCTAACAAGCCAACTGAGAGCAGGCCGTTAAGTTGATTCGTAATGAACCCGTGAAAGTGATAAATGAGATAGAATAAATATATGAAAATCATATATTTTGAACTGCGGTATTTGATACGTATGATGGACGATCCTCGCAGTAGATAGCGCTATTTGAGCAATAGCGAAATTCAGACCTGAAAAAAATTAGGCCTGTACGGGACTCGAACCACTGACCTCTGCGATACTAGTGCAGCGCTCTAACCAATTGAGCTAACAAGCCGTAAATATAATTAAATAAATACGTAAATAAATTAAATAATACGTAGTAAAAATAATACGTAATAAATTAATCATACGTAAATAAATTAAATGTCAGGAAGGTGTCATTACATTTGGTATTGACACCGACTCAGGCCAGAAATACAGTGACAGGAAGTTAGTGACCAAATGAACAACAATAAAAGGATACATAGATGTTATCTTGTTTACAGGCCAACGATTCCTGCGTTAGAGTCTAACTACGCCAGGAGGCCTTCGGCAGACTGACTGAAAGGGTAGGAGCATAGATTGTTTAAAGTAAACAAGCCACAAAGTATGAAAAAAATAAAAAAAGGTCACATTGTTTGGAAGTTTAGAGCAACATACCCAAGCTTTGCAGTAGAACAGGAACACTGCTAAGTACACAACGCTTACCGATGGCATCAAAACTGAAAGAGTAAAAAAACTTGCACAACTTGCTCTACTTCAAGTGACCTGATAAACTTAAAAAATATTTAATTAAAAAAGTGCTTCAATTTATGATTTAGTTGAGGGTACAGTACACTCAGCGAAGCTCGAAAAAAACTGTGAGCTGCGAGGAACAGGTATTGCCCAGGAACAGATATACGAGCATGTTTTCGCGCCAAATGGAGGCTCATATTCTTCAAACATTTTCAACGCGCGTGACAAATGTTTACGAACGGCTTCCCGTTTGCGGCGTGGGGTATTCACTTTTCAGGGTTCTCTGATAAGATTTTATGAACAAAAAAAACATGTTCCCTCTTCTGTAACACCCACACGACGTTTATCATCTTGAATTAAACTTGATGCTCAGAGTTTCCTATATTGGGCGTAGGGTTTGAAACTAGGGAGTATCACTTGGGGTATATCCTAGGATATCGCCCCATTTTAGTTGAGAATATTCGGTCAAGTGATACATTTTGACCAATCGCGCGCGAGCAAAAAGATTTGTTGGATTATGAATATAAACATATATATGAACGGTGGCCTCTATTTGACGCGAAAATATGTTCATTTCTCTCCCGTAGATTGTTCGGAAGAAAAATGACGATCGAGGAAGACAGTCAGCTTAAATATATTTTCACTCTTGGAAGAGTATCACAGGAGTTTTGGCAACATTACTTGAAACAACACAAATTTTGAGCTCGTCAGTTTTATTAGTCTGTTACACATCTTTAGGTCCACACAACCACGTTGCATTATACTAATCTTTATTTATTTACGGCGATACTTGGGAGCTATACAGTTCTCTTTTGATTAAGGTTAGTAGATGATCAAGCTAAGGCATGGAAGGTCTGTACGTTACATGAAGTTTCCATTTTTTAAACTGACATTCTATTGTTTGTCTTGGTAGACATTCTGTCATGTCAATTCAGGTTGGATGTTAAACATTTAAAACCCTCAAAAAAACTGTTCTTCATCCTAAAACATCAAAAACAATGTTACAGTGACATCGTTTGCAAGAGGAAGCACGTGGAGTTTAGACGCAATTAATTCGCGTAAAAAGTTTAAGAAAGATGACATGCACCTTTAATTGACACACCCCACACACCCACCCCACCCCTATAAAACTCGATGTCGCCCTGACACTTATTCTGCCAACAAGAACTACAAGGGATTCCCACGGTTATCAACAGGACTTCCTATTGAAGAGAAAACATAAAATAAAACAGTCTTCTTACAAGTTAGTTTTCAAACCGTTACTGATTGCCTGTATCTTAACAAACTGTCGATGTAATTTTATGTTGACTTGAAATGATTTTTTCCACAAAAAATGACCCCACTAATGACATCGTTTATTTGAATTTGACGTTGATTACCACAGATGAAAAACTCGATTGAAATAGCAATGGTGACGTCATCTATGCATCAGTCCCTCGTGAGATCATCACAATCGATCAAAATC